GATCTCCTGACCTCAGGTGATCCACCCGCCTCGGCCTCCCAAAGTGCCGGGATTACAGGCGTTAAGCCACTATGCCCGGTCAATTTTTGTATTTTTTAGTAGAGATGGGCTGTCACCATGTTGGCCAGGCTGGTCTCGAACTCCTGACCTCAAGCAATCCACCTGCCTCAGCTTCCCAAAGTGCTGGGATTACAGGCATGAGCCACCGCACCTGGCCACTTTTATTTGTTTGCTTGTATCAGGACTCTTGGAAGCAAGTGATAGGAACTTAAACTGATTTTAAAAACAGGCTTATTAGTACAGGGGTTAACTGGGCTTCAGGTACAGCTACATTCAGATGCCCTGAAATTGGCTTGGGCCTTGATTTCTCCCCTTCTTGGCTTTGTCCTCCCATGTGGACACTTTCTCAGGAGGGCCCTCACCTGCTGTGGGGCACAGCTGACTTTTGCCCAGCCAGGGAAATAATCTCTTTAAATACGTCCTAGGAAAAAAAACTCGTTGGCTCTCATTGGCTGGTCTTGAGTCACATGCCCATGCCTGGCCCCATTTCTGCAGCCAGTGACAAGGATGTTCTGAGAGGCCACGCCCAGGTCCCCACCCACTCCTGTCTCTGGCCCCCCGTGAATGGGAGTCGGGGATGGGTTCCCAAGGAAAACAAGAACGTTGGACCCAGGAGGCAGGAGGATGGAGGCCGAGCCAGGAACACAGCAGATGCCCTTACAAAACCACGGACTGTCAGGATCAGCGGCACCTGGGAGCCTGCTGGCATGAGATTCTTGGCTCTGCCTTGCACCTGCCAAGTCAGAATGTCTAGAGGAAGCACAGGTTGTGTTCTTTTGTGTGTGTGTGTGTGTTTTGAGAGACAGGATCTCGCTGTGTTGCCCAGGCTGGAGTTAAGTGGCACAATCCCAGGTAACTGCAGCCTCAACCTCTCGGGCTTAAGCCTCCTGCCTCAGCCTCCCGAGTAACTGGGACCACAGGCATGCACCACCACGTCCGACTAATTTTTTTTATTTTTATTTTTGTAGAGATGCAGTCTCGTGACCCTTCTGCCTTGGCCTATCACAGTGCTGGGGTTACAGGTGTGAGCCGCCGGGCTGGGCTGACAGGAGTGTGTGCTCTAACACACTCTCCAAATGTTGATGCACACTCATGTGTGAGAACTGTCTGTCAGCCCCCCACTAAAATTAGCATTTTATTCACTGATGTGAATATCCTCGCCAGGACCAGGTGCGGTGGGGAAGGGGAGGTCCCAGGGAAAGTTGCGAGGCTGTTCCTGGAGAGGGTGTGCCACACAGACAGGCACGAAGGTGGAGATTCTTGACCTAAAGCAGGCTTTGACTTGTGATCCTGGGGGATAATTACCATCTGCGGTTTTCTTGTTTTCCAGCCTAAAACCTGAGGCTGGGTTCCCTTGGGAATACAGAAACATCTAGATTCCAAGGCACACATGCTGCCACTAGCTAAACAAAAAATAACAAGTGTGCCCTTAAAGCACCGCAGAGATGTCCCTGCTCCACTGTCAACAGTTCTTGTTCTTGCCCTGGGGGGTGAGGGACGGGCCTCCCGCGCAGACCTCAAGGCCTACTGGACACAGCCTCTGCTGGGCTTGAGCCAGAGGCCCGTCTGGGCCCTGGGCCGGCTGCCGGCTCTCCTGGGGACCGACTGTGACCTTGGCCTCACTCACCCAGGGTGCTGGTGCTTCCTATCTGCGTGGAGCTCAGCTCCTGGTGGCCTCCTGCTGGATTTTTATGGATGTTGGATGCAGATTCTTTAAGGGTGCCCGCTCCCCAGATTCCCTTCTTTGCAGAGCACAGAGTCCCACTGGGAGGCCTCTGTGGCCTCTGACCAAGGAGTTCCCCAAACCTCTTTTTTCGCATCTGTAAAATGGGGACTGGTTTGTGTCTCCCACGACCGTTGAAAGACTGCAGTTGTGCAAGTGAAGCCCTTGGC